ACATTCCAAACAATATCATATACATCATGTACTTTAACATCGAGTGTTTACTGAACTAATCATGGAACATTTGTATGTTGTCAGATAACGAAAACTCACAAAGTCTGAGTATGCTACCACAAGTGTGTGCGCCGCGCCGTCGCACTGATGTCCATGTATGTCCTGGGAGTCAAATTTTGATTAATGTCAAGGTCGTACCAAAACTTTTACCATGATCGTTTCTTATACTTTGTGTAAGGTATCATCTATATTTCCCATCAAAACAAAGGCAAGCAAGTTTAACCACTCGATCAGCATCAGGTTGACTACGTCCTTGCAAGTAGTGTTGCCCAAAATCGGTCTCGATCTTGCAGTATTGGTCTCGTTTTTGAATTTTTTGTAAAACCAAGATCAAGATCGCCTAATTTTAACAAGACCAGAACCAAGACTGACCGTGCAAGATTTGAGCAAGAACAAGATTAAACCTGCGAGATTTCTGCGTCTTGCAGTTAGGCAAGGCAAGGCTTGCTGTTGTAGAAAGTTATGGAACTGTTACTTCCTAGAGATGGGCCGAATATGGATTACGGCTTTCGGAATATTATTCGGCGGGATCACCTCGATACTTAACCAATTTATGTCGAAACTTGTTACCGTAAAGCGTGCGGGAATAGCGCAGGGCCCTGCCCCTCGCTACCCCGCCACACCTGACATGTATTGCATCATCTAGTATTAAGCAAATTGCCGATTTGACTGTTTTTGGAGAGTACAGTAAGTATTTCGTTGTGTTATCCTTAGTAAAAATGGATAATTATATAATAAAAATGAGTAGTTGGTGATCTATTATTTGGACTTATTTTAGAGAAACTGACGACCAAAGTAAAGTAAAATGTACTTAATGTACCTAATATAATGTTTCTTTCTTTGATTCCATAAACATTTTATCAGGCTTTCTATTTGCTATAATTGGAAATAGATCTGTAGTGCCTCAAAAACATATACAAGTAGATTTAACCCATAAATAAAATATACTTTCAACATTATCTAAAATGATAAAAGACATGGCATTATTCAATTCGTGTATTTCAAACAGTGGACACTTTGAGTACCGCTTTAACGAATGTTCGGTGATTTAGCCGAATATTCAGCCGAATACTAATATTCGGTAAAGCTGCCGACTATGCCGAATACCGAACACGAAACGAACATTCGGCCCATCTCTATTATTTACTCCTTACAGATGGACACTTTTTCAACTATTTCATAGCTTACTACATATCTATTTATCTATAAACTAATCTCCCATATGAGAAAGTTCTCCTCACCTTTACACTCCATGATTAATTGGTAAGGTAAGAAATCGATCGAGGATTGTTTTGAATTAATTGGATAATTTTATTAACTATGGATGATTTTATTTATTACCTTTTGAGCGCCAAAGTCGCCTATACTTGACCAGCATCTGTGAGCTCTGAGCGCCAATGACGTTTATAGTTGACAAAAAACCCCGCCCACAAAAATATGAAATATAGATATTGGAAAATTATTACTGGTATTTTAATTCTACACTCCTCAAAAAAGAATAACCCAGCAACATGTGAGTATAAAAAACAAGTCTCCTAGAGCCACAAGTACTAAGAAACATTGAACTAAAAAAATGGATTTTTATCTAAGCAAATACTATGTCCAGCACGCCAAAGTCGTTTATGTTTGACCGCTAGTGTTGTAATGCTTTTGGCATAGATTTATTGAAAACTATTCAAAATTAAACGCAAACGTGTTATTTTTTAAATTATTATTGATATTTGAATAAAACAAAAGGTAAGAAACATAAAACTATCATCAGCTACATAAATAAAAGAAAATTTCATCAAATCAACTTCGATTAATAAATCTAATATCTCAACTCTGGCGCATCGTCAGCGCGTCATCGATTATCAGTTCAAAAGGCGCCGTGGTCAAGGATAGACGACACGAATAAGCGAATAGCGGAAAAAGTAGTGGAGTGCAACATGAAAGATTCCTCAGAACTCATTCGCATTTTGGAAATCGTCGATGATGATGATTTTTTTTATTTTAATAATATAAAATTTCAAATAATAAATGTTTATTTTTCTTAAGGTATCATCATCATCATTACAGCCCTTTACAAGTCCACTGCTGAACATAGACCTCCCCCAAGGTATGTCACAAAGCACGGTCCTGAGCCACCTGCATCCATCGACTTCCTGCATGTCTTACCAGGTCGTCACTCCATCTAGTGGGGGGTCGCCCTACACTTCGTTTACCGGTACGAGGCTGCCACTCGAGAACCTTTTTTCCCCAACGGTTGTCGGTTCTTCGAGCTATATGGCCGGCCCATTGCCACTTCAGCTTACTAATCCGTTGGGCTATGTCGGTCACTCTGGTTCTACTGCGGATATCCTCATTTCTAAGTTTATAGAGAAACTCCGAGCATAACCCTCTCCATAGCTCGCTGAGCGACTTTGAGCGTCCTCATACGGCCAGCAGTGAAGGACCACGTCTCAGTTCCATATGTCATCACTGGCAACACGCACTGGTTGTACAACTTAGTTTTCAGGTTTTGAGGTATACCTGACGAGAAGATGCGTTGTAATTTCCCGAACGCTGCCCAGCCGAGTTGAATCCGTCGATTGACCTCTCGGTCGAAGTTGGACTTACCTAGCTGGACTATTTGTCCCAGGTAAACGTACTCGTCAACAACTTCGAGCTTAGTGCTCCCAACAACTACCGGCATAGGTGTGACATGGACCTTAAATGTGATCTTTGTTTTGTCCATGTTCATCTTAAGACCTATCCGTTGGGAGGCACTATTGAGGTCATTGAGCATAGTGCTTAAGTCCTCCAGCGATTCTGCCATAAGGACTATATCGTCGGCAAATCGAAGATGAGTGATGTACTCGCCATTGATGTTAATACCGTATCCTTTCCGGTCCAGTAGCTTGAAAACGTCTTCCAATGCAGCGGTGAAGAGTTTCGGGGAAATAACGTCACCCTGTCTTACACCTCTCTGCAGTTGGATAGGTTTCGTACTCTGGTTCTGTACTCGGATAGCCATCGTAGCCCTACTGTACAAACACTTCAGCACTTCGATATACCGACAGTCAACTTGGCACCGCTGAAGAGACTGTAGTACCGTCCAAATTTCGACGGAATCAAAGGCTTTCTCATAGTCCACATACGCCAGGCAAAGTGGCAGATGTACTCTTCGGACTTCTGTACAATTTTCCGAAGGGTATGTATGTGGTCTATCGTACAAAAGCCTTTTCGGAAACCGGCTAGTTCGGGAGGCTGAAAGTCGTCGAGTCTTGAATTCATCATCATCAGTCAAATCGGTCTGTAGTTCTTCAAGAGGGCGTTGTCACCTTTCTTGAAGAATAAAACCACCGCACTTCTGCTCCACGCCTCCGGAGTAGTGCCACCATGGGGGGACGGAATTAAAGAGCCTCTGAAGGACTTCAAGTACCGGTTTTCCACCCGCTTTCAGAAGCTCCGCTGTAATTCCATCCTCGCCCAGGGACTCGCCGTTTTTAAGGTGCTGGAGAGCCATTCTAATCTCACTCAGACTGACGTCCGAGATATCATCGGAATAGTGTCGGATAAGACCCGCTCTTGGATCGTTACTCACACTTACGTGTGGCTCCAACGATGATGTGTACAGCTGCCCATAGAACCTCTCAATCTCACTCAGAATCTCAGGTGTCCCGGAAACGATGCTGGCACACTCAGTCTTCAGCTTTGACAGGCTCTTACTGGCAGACAGATCTCTGGCAAAGACTTTGGAGCCCTGGTTTTGCTCAATCGCTTCTTCAATACGAGCAGTATTAAATTTGCGTAAGTCTCGCCGCATGCATTTGAAGATCTGTCTGTTCAGTTGCCTGTATACTGTCAAATCTGTTGACGATTGCAGCCTCATCTCCCGTCTAACAGCCATGAGATTAAGAGTGTGATCGGAGAGCTTTTGCGTTCTTCTGCGGCCGGTCTTGCAGAACTTAGGACCGACCGCATGGACAGTTTCCACGAGCTTGTCATTCATATCGTCCACTGCATTGCAATCTTCTAGGCACTGAAAGCGGTTCCGTAACTCAAGCTGAAAGGTTTCGGGATTCTGGATTAGAGCACGAGGGGGACGGAGCGTTGACTTCATCAGACGAGACCTCTCCAACTTAACGTTTAGGTTCAGTGTAGTTAGGGTGAGTGTTCTTATAAAAAAAATCTATACCTATCCCAATTTCTTATTCATTTAACATTTATAATTTGCTTAATACCGCATACTTTTATTTTGTTGTCGTAAACGCGGTTGCTGACCATAAAGTCCTGGGATTCCGGGTCGTCACCAAATCAGTTATTGGGTTTATCAGTCAGAACATTCTCAGCAGCAGCCCTGAAGTGGAAGGTGGTTCTCCACAGTGCCTCGGAAAGTACGTAAAGCCGTTGGTCCTGCACCGGACCTCTCTCCGGGTGTGGTGGATTGCCGTCCCATCGGACTGTGACAGTGAGGGAATAGAGCAACTGTGCTTACGCACTATAATCTATGTTGAGATTGGCTGCAGTGACTGTAATTTATCCTTTTTTTTATAGGATAGGGTGACAAACGAGCTCACAGTGCACCTGATGGTGAGTGGTTGCTGCGGCCCATAGACATCTACATCTATCCTCGATTATGAATCAAAATGTAGATGCGTTATCACCCGTGTGGACTAAGATGGAATGCCTCGTTTCCAGTAAAAAGGGTCTCCGGTTCTCTACACTCACCATACGAAACACAGCCACAATAATGTTTCACGCTGGTATTCTGTAAGAACGTGGTCCTTCCCCGATCGAGCAGACCCATTCGTGCTATAACTATACTACTAATATAACTGCAGCATGGCTCTACCACGTATGAAATCTATCTATCCTGGAGGATATTATTAGTTTATATAATATATTATATACTCGTAATATATAAAAACTGGGACTAATTTTGAATATATTTTTCAGTTGAGAACGGCATTGTCGTGATGGATTGGGATCTTGGCAGCGGACTCTCTAGTCTTCGCATTGAGGCTGTTCATGTTAACGCCGGAGAGCGTCACGAGGTAAACACTCACGTCACATTACATCCACACGAGCCAGTAGACTAGAAGAAAATGGCAAAAGGCATCAATTTCGACCTTTGTAATCCTGTGTTAAAGTGTACAATAGAGTATAAATTCTATTTGCACTGATAGTATATTCATCCACACACTGAATAGCGTACATTCTGCGGACTTCCTGCCCTAATAGCCGAATATTAGGCAAAAGCATTCGGCCGTAAGGAAGTAGTGTTTATTCTTCAGAGCGTCTATTCACTAAAGCTGGGATTGTCTACATGAAAAGGAGTAAACTACTGTCCGAAAGTGAAGAAAAATTAGTCTTTCTGCACCATTATCCTACTATATAAACTTCAATTGCGTTAATACAAGTGCATTGACATTTATCTGATAGTACTTTTTAGGGAGTTGATTATGTACCTATGACTACTTTACTGATACAAAAAAAAGAATTAGATATAAAATAAGTAAATATTTGTATTTTACCAATTATCTGACCACAATAAAACCTCTTACTTAATTATTCGATTTTCGACCGAGTAGTACCTAGATATTAGTTATTCGACGAGATATCAGATCCCAGAAAATATTTAACGTTTCTTTATTAAGGATATATCAACAAGTTTAAATATTTAAGTAAACAAAAACACTTTAAAAGGAGTATTATAATATAAACGAATACATACTTGTATAACATTATATCCCCTAGGAATGAGGTGGTCGCTTCCGAGCTGTTTCTAAAATAAATTTTGAAAATATTTTGTAACCGTTCACATTGTAAAATTTATTTAAAGAAAATCCCGCTGGGTTTGTTGCCGGTTCTTCCCAGGACAGAGGTTTTTATCGAACCAGTGGTAAAGTAAAAAAGACTTTCAATAAGAATTACATGTAATCTTTATTGATTAAAAATATTCTATTCTATTCTACACTATACTTGGATAAGATAAAAATAGCTGAATAGACCAAATATCGAATAGCCGAATTTTCGTTGCACGTCTAGTATAAATAAACAATTTTCACTCCTTGTGCTTCCTCTTAGTATGTTTGCCATAATCTCCACGTTTACATCTTAGTTTTCAGAGGTGAAAACACATCTGCGCTTTGATTTTTATTCGAGGAGAGAATATGGATGTCTTTGGAACACAGCATCCACTTACAGTCATGTGGGCTGTATACTCACCTAGAAGGTTGATTAATGATCGTTATACCAGGCGTATTACTCTTTTAGAACTACTCCCGCTCTGTCGCTGATCTTGTTGTCTTATACCTTGTTTAAACGGGACGACTATACCGCCATCTATGGTAAACTATAATATCTTTCTAGAATTTCTCTTAAGACTTTCACGGGACATATAGGTGATGGTATCACTTACACTCCACCGTTGTACTATGTTGTTTAAACTCTGTTACAGATCATCGCTAAGCTGCTGAGCGACAATCAAGTGTACCTGTCGGTGGACGGCGAAACAAAGATCGGAACATCAACTGGTTTCTTGAACCTTATGAATGCCGATTCGAACATTTACATCGGTAAGCAATGATACGTTAATTATATTACTGTTACATTATTTAACAAATATGTGGCGGCGCTGTCGTCGCGCCACAAGCAAAACACACCGAAGCCTAAATCACGCTATCAACATTCCGTCACATGGAGTGTTGGCCGCTCCCCGGGCAGAACACCTTGCCCGGCGGGAGAAAAAAAAGAAAAAGGGGAGATCCCTTTTCTTTCTACGGCCACAAATATGTTTCATTTGTTGATTGGCCACGATGAAAATTATGTAATTGTTAACTTCGATTTGCATGTTTTTAATAAACAAAATTAAAACCCCGGTACGATCCATGAAAGCCTTTAGGTGTCATTATATAATTTTTTGAGAATAAATAAAAAAAATCTACAAAATTAAAATAAAATTTGATTTAAAAGTGGTGCGGGCGTGTTTCGGGTAACGATACGACCAAATATACATTCGTCGATGACAGTGTTGCGGGATTTTATAAATTTACTAAATTTTAACGACTTTGTAGTAACGAAATATTTTATCTTAACCTCAGATAACCGCAAGAACCGCAGTATCAAGGTGTGCTTCGAAACAATAGAACCTGCCAAAAAAACTACTCTGCAACAGAAGTAAGCTACAAGATGGTCTAAAAATGTTCTCAGACCAAACACCAACAAACTTCAACAAAACTTTATGAGAAAATTAAGAGAAGAGTTAAAGCGACGACAAGATAATGGTGAGACTAACCTTACAATTAAATATGTTAATAGAACACCGTTAATCATAAAAACATCAAAAAACTCCACACAGTAAACATAGAAATAAACATTTCTATCAAAAACAACACTTATGAAATATTAAAAAGTTACCAAAATTTTACAATCAACAAGTCACGCTTTACCTTTCTCTACCTCAACGCTCGAAGTATACGTAAAGTGGGAAAACTCGATGAACTCAAGTGTGTATTACAAGCTATACCAAATAATGTGCACATCATACTGATAACTGAAACTTGGATTCGCAACGAGGAACAAGCATTACAACTTCAACTACCGAATTACTTTCATTATTATAACTACAGAACAGATGCTGGTGGAGGAGGGGTATCTGCTTATGTCCATAATAACCTGAAGCACAGTTTATCAGAGTCAAAATATGTAGGAGGCAATAACTATCTATGGATAAAACTACAAAAATATGCACTTGAAGTGGGAGTGGTATATAATCCTGGACACACTAATTTCAAGCAATTTCTCGAAGCATACGAATCACAATTACAAGAAAGAAGCAGAGCAATAGTTTTTGGTGACTTTAACATTGATTTACTCCCAAAGAATTCAGAGACCAAAAGATGCAGTGATCTGTTAAAACAGACTGGATACAAGATCATAAATAAAATCACAAAAAAATATTACACCAGACAAGGATATACAAAAAAGTCTATCCTAGATCATGTAAGCACCAACTTAAAGGAAGAAAACTTTCATATGGTATATGTCAACTCATCTTTTTCTGATCATAGACAGCTTTACGTGGAAATCAAGAAAAGCAATAAATTATAAAGAACTTCATAAATCAATGGAGAAAGCAGGAATACAAGAATCCAACGATGACTTCACAAGACTGGAAAAACTAATAAAAAAATGTATGGAAGAAAGCAAAGTAATAAAGACCAAAATTATGAATGAACCACAAAAAGAATGCATAAACAAAAGTATCATAACAGAGATCAATGAAAGAAACTTGATGTGGACAGAACTACAGAACAACCCAGAAAGAGAAGACCTGAGAGAAAAGTTTATCACCAAAAGACATAAAATAATGAAGTTGATACGGGAAACAAAGAAGTCATATTATAAAAAGGAATTTGACAAATACAGTGGAAAGCCCAAAAAGCTATGGAATTTACTCAATACTCTTATAAATAATAAATTTAAACAAAGATGCGCTCCTCCCAAACTTATTGTACTTGTTAATTCCCACTCACTCCCAAACTTATTGTAGTGTTACTTGTTAATTCAATAGAAGTTACTGATCCTCATGAGATATGCAATATATTTAATAACTTTTTCGCTACTATAGGGCCATATTTAGCTGACGAAATACCTATTCAGTTCCATGTAAATTATACTCACGCACTACCAGAACCACTTTTACAAAATTTGCAAATGAATAGTTTAGAGCCATGCACTGAAGAAGAAATCCTTAATATTATTAACAAACTTGATTCAAACAGTAGTGTCGGTCTAGATGGTATTAGTACAAAGGTTATCAAGTGTGTGAAGGACTTAATAATAAATTCATTAACGAAAAACTTTAACAAACTTTTACAAAACGGATCATTTCCAGACTGACTTAAAATAGCCAAAGTAACACCTATTTACAAATCGGGACCAAAAACAGAACCGGGCAACTATCGACCAATTTCCGTACTGCCAGTATTATCAAAAATTCTCGAAAAAGTCTTACATACACGGCTACAAAACTACTTAGATTCTATAGATTTTTTTTTTGATAGATAGTACGGATTTCGTTCTAAAAGTAATACACTCACAGCTACAATTGATGTGGTAACTAAAATCAAACAAAACATTGATAAGAAAAACATCGTACTAGGAGTATTCATCGATTTAAAAAAGGCGTTTGACACCGTAAGTCATAAACTGCTCTTAAAAAAAACTGGAAGTCATTGGTATTACTGGCATAGCCTTAAAAATGTTTGAGTCTTACCTCACGAATAGATCCCAGGTCGTTAAAATAGACAGTAGTTCTCAAAGTCCCCCACAACCCATAACCTATGGAGTTCCACAAGGTTCAATATTGGGTCCTCTGCTCTTTTTAGTCTATATCAACAATATGCATGAGTTGGGCTTGAATGGCAATATCACACTTTACGCCGATGACACTTGTCTCTTTTACTTTGGCTCTTCAATTCATGATCTTGTCTCTCAAGCCCAGCAGGACCTTGACATTCTTCGCGATTGGTTACAATACAATTTACTAACTATCAACATTCTCAAAACTACCTAAATAATATTTAAAGCAAAAATAAACCTATACCTAATTTCTCACCTCTTAAAATAAACAATACACCATTGCAAGAAGAAACTAATGAAAAATATCTTGGCCTTCATTTGGATACGTATTTAACATGGAAAGTTCACATTAACTGCGTGATCTTGGTATTCAGTTGGATAGTAAGTTGTTACTGAGATCACATATTAATATAATAACTCAAAGAGCTTATAAAATGCTAGGTTTTGTGATGCGTATCTCAAAAGATTTTAAAAACTCTACAACATTAATTATACTATTTAATACTCTGGTGCGATCTATTCTTGAATATTGCTCTTCATGTTGGAATCCTCAATACAAAGTTTATGTTAAAATGATTGAAACAATCAATAATAAGTTTCTGCGTCACTTAAAGCGATATGATTCTTCCGTAGACTCCTTTATTGATAGCTTACACAGTTATACACTCGAAAAACGCCGTGATATAAGAGATCAAATGTTGTTGTACAAATTGCTACATAATATCATCGACTCACCCCTACTTTTAAGCAAAGTGAATCTTGCGTGTCACCGGTTAGGTGCACGAAAAAAGCCTCTTTTTGCATTACGTAAAGTAAAAACGAAGTACGCTTCTAATAATTTTGTATCTCGTACATGTAAAAATTTTAACTTAAAATATTGTGAACTAGATATTTTTCACCTTAAATACAATAGTTATAAAAAAAATATTGTAAAACTTAATTTATAATTGGTAGCTTCACTATAGGTCGTGTGTATTGTATTACTTTTATTTTATGCTTAGAACTTAATGTTTAATTAATCCATTTAGGTATTTTTTTTTCAATCTTTAAACATATTGTGGTTGCAAGCTTTTAATATGTTTTAGATATCTGTGGAAACTTCATTGGTTTTAGGATTACTTTTATATGTTTTATAATGTATTTCTTTTATTGTACTGTATGTTTCCCTGAAAAAGCAAATAAATAAATAAATTAAATATTTAATAACCGAATTAATTTCACTTCACGCCTTACTTCGTATTAATTTTCGATACATACCACAGAAACTACGTTTCACAATATATAATGCCTTAGTTAAACCACACCTGTTATATCTCATCGAGGTCTGGGGAAGCGCTGCCAGTATTAGATTAAACAAATTACAAATCCTACAAAATAAAATCATAAAAATGCTATTCAACTACAATTTCCGAACGTCAACTTCAAAAATTTTCCGAGAGACGAATCTGATGAATATCAAACAATTATACATTTACAGCACATGTATCTTTATTCGCAAATCCATGAACAAGAAGGTCCGCACGGATTTGCAATTCACGCATCTGCACTCGACGCGCAAGCTTTATTGTTTTGCCCAAAACTCGAACAAAGTACGGCCAGACCACAATTACATGCGAAGGTTCGCGCCTTTTTTAATAAGATACCCTCGGAAATAAAAAAATGTAGGCTCGTTCAATGTATTCAAAAAGCGACTTACAAATCATATAATCACGAACATATCTATCTGAGTGAGTTGGACTGGTTTGTTCCTGGTCTTAGTATTGTGGTGCTAAGGTGATAGTGTATACTAGAATTTAACTTTTAAAATTAAGGTGAGAAATGAATTAAGTGTCCACCTGATTCAAAATGATTTTAATCAACTTTTTAACAAAAAAAGGTTGCAAATGCTTCGACCCTTTTTACTGGAAACGAGGCATTCCATCTTAGTCCTCACGGGTGACAACGCATCTGCATTTTGATTCGTAATCGAGGATAGATGTAGATGTCTATGGGCCACAGCAACCACTTACCATCAGGTGGACTGTGTGCTCGTTGGTCACCCTATTCTATAAAAAAAAAGAAAATTTATTTTTCAACAACATAGGTACGACAATGAATTTTGTTATTTAGATTTACTTTTATTTATGTTCTCATGTAAGTGGCGTATAAAATGTCTTTATGAGAATAAATGTCTTTAAACATAACTTGGCTTTTTACCCTTTTTGTCTTACTGCATCAAGAATATTTACTAATTAAATGCTTATTAAGTTTCTACTCGAAGTAATGGGATAAGGAAAACGTACGTAAATACGAGTATTTCTACGTTGGTACTCGCCTTCGCCCGGCCAACATGTATAGAAGGCAATAGACACTAAATTTAATGTAAAATGGAAATATCAACCGGATGACCATATTATCCTCACGTACGCTATATAGTTTCTCGAACTCTGACACTACGTGATCTATTTTTCTAGACCGAGCTGAGACCACAAGTGACGATATAAAAAATCAAATTAAATTTAAATACATTTTATTTTGCAAATTGTTGACCTCTGCATTGCCCGAGGAGTAAGAGAATTGTCAATGACTCCGCTTTACCGATGCACGTGTCAGTTACGGGACCCCGGTCAGTTCAACTAATCAGTTCAAACTAAAACTGTAGATATTTTTTAAAATAGTGGATTTTCGATATATTGATCATATTTATGCATATATCGAAAATCCGATATTTAAAAAAAATATCAACAGTTTTAATTTAAACTGATCAGTTGGAATTATCAGTTTAACTGACCGATAGATGCATTAAAACCACATAAAATTTACAAACAAGACATTATT